CTGGTTAGTCAATCATGTATATAATAACAATAATTAAATATAATGGAAAGCAAGGAGAACTGTTAAGTTGTCTAACGCGCGCCAGTAAGTGGGGCCCTTGTGATTCAAATAGACCAATCAAACAAAGAGAGATAAAGAACTATTTGAAAAGAACTAATGAAATACTGCCTTCTCGCCACGCCATCCAATTGACTGATGACCGGCCGTCTAACCACCGGAGATGGTGGTTTCCACCATCTTCTCCGATGAGGTCGAATGAAAAATCAATCAAATGAAAAAACAAACAATGCCATCTGCCTTAAAAAAGTCCCCTGAATTCGAATTTGGCCTCTAAAAATGCTAATTCCTCACACATCATTGAGTTTTCGTTTGAAACCCTAGCGACGGTCAAACATGGCAAAGTGTAAACCCAGGCCCTATTGCCCCATGTAATACGTCAAAAAGCTAGCAAAGATCATTAGCAACACAAATATAAACTCAAACAAAATTGGTATGGCCTGTTATGAGAGTTTGAGATCTAAGATTTACCAAGAAAATTGAGATTCGGTTTGGCAACCTCATAGTGTTTCTGGCGTGTGTGAGGGTTGATTTGTCTTCCTGGGAGCCTCAGGAGGAAGATAGAGTGCCTACTTCTGATTGAGAGTGGTTGAAACATGAGTTTTTGATTGCACCACTTTTTGATATTTTTGCAAACTTATTCTTGGTTTTTTGAGGCAGCCTCTCGTGTGTTGTAGGTCTGGGATGATTGTGCTTATGTATGATAGCATATTAGGTCAACATAAATGGAAGGAATCTCATGCTTTGATGATAAAATATTCTCCTTTCAAATATTTTATTTTTGTCTATTTTTGGATTGAATCCACTCTTTCCCCCTCTCCACGAGTTTGCCTAGATTTGCCAGCTTATGTTGATTGTCAATTGATTAGCAAAAGATTTGCAATAAAATCTTTCATTATTTTGATTATTTATTTGATTTAATTTTATTTTTAAATGATTAAAAGCAAAATAAATTAAATAAATAAAGACAATAATATGTGGAAGGGTGTTTGGGTCGTGGACCATGTTGGAAATGAGATGCAAGCACAAAAAGTTGGGCCCATTTGCCAAAGAATGCAATTTTGGGCATTGTTGACTTTTAACAATTCTCCAAAAATGGCCAATCTTGACGAGGCATATCTCCTTCAATTTTGACCCTAAGAGGGTGTTCTTGGACTTTTTAGAAAGCTTAGGATGTCTCCTAAACAATCTTTTTGGTTTCATTTCAATTGGAACTTCCATGCTCATATAAGAAGCTTTGACCCAAAAGGTGTTTTTATTGACTTTTTAGAATGACCTATAATGTCTGAATTTATATATTTTCATGAGTGGTTTTCTTGAACTCGAGGACTGAAGATGAGTTGTAGGGAATTGAATTATCTTCAAAATGAGCCTTGGATGAGAAATTTCTGATAAAGTATGAGAAAGTTATGCTTGGTCAAAGTTTGGTTGACTTTTTCTGAGAAACCCTAATTTAGTAACTTTTGAGTTTTGATGAATTAGGAGCATTCCTTGGGGAATCATGATCAACACTTGATCAAATGATGGGTATTATTTCAAAATGTTGATGTTGACCAAAAATCTTGAAGTTTGACTGTATGTGGGCCACAATTGACTTTTGACCTAATACGGTTGATTTTTAGGTATTTGAGCAGTTGACTGAGCAAACTTCTTGTGCAAGGCATGAAACTTGACATAGATGATCTTGAGAACACATTAGGACTATGGAGAGCATATGAGGCCTTTGGAGCTCACCCATATTGATGAAAATAGAAACCCTGGTTGGAGGTTCATTGCTTTAGGAGAGAGTTTGTCTGGTCAACTCTTGGGCATCCTTGAGCAAATTGAGGATCTTAATGAACATATGTTGAGTAAAATGGGAGGGGAAATTTTAGGGTACAACAGCCGTCCTGCATATACTCCTATGGATCCTAATGCTAAATTTTGGGGAGAAGGTAATGTTCCTGTTGATACTGGGAGATTTTAGAGATTGGTTGAAAAGTTAATTTATTTGTCACACACCCGATATGATATTTCTTTCTCAATTAGTGTAGCAAGTCAGTTTATGCATTCTCCTTACGAGAAACATCTTGAGGCAGTCTACATGATACTTAGATATTTGAAGGGAAATTCTGGTAAAGGCTTACATTTTAAGAAAAGTAGTGAAAGAAATGTGTCTATCTTCATCGATGTTGATTGGGCAGGTTCAATCATAAATAAAAATATCAACCTCTGGGTATTGTACCTATGTTTGGGGTAATCTTGTGATATGGAGGAGCAAGAAGCAAAGAGTTGTAGCAAGAAGTAGTGCGGAATCCGAGTTTAGAGTTATGTCTCAAGGTATTTGTGAAGGATTATGGATCTTTAAAGTCTTAGAAGAGCTTAAGATGAAAATTGAGCTTTCATTGAAATTATACTCTGACTGTAAAGCTGCCATTAGAATAGCTCATAATCCAGTTCAACATGACAGAACCAAACATATTGAGATTGATCGACACTTCATAAAAGAGAAGTTAAATGCTGGAATCATATGTCTCCCTTTTGTGACTTCAAGTCGGCAAATTGTGGATATCCTGACCAAAAGTTTGGTAAGACTTACCTTTGAGCATTTGATAGACAAATTGGGCATGATAGATATCTACGCACCAACTTGAGGAGGGTGTTGGAAAATATCTGATTTCCTTATTTTATTGTTTCCGTTTATTCTCTTTTATTTTCTTTTATTCTCCATTAAAGAGATAATTAATTATCATTATTGTATTACCATTATATAAACTAGCCTTGAGCTGAGGAATAAAATCACAATAGCTTTTTACCATTCCTTTCAATATTACTAATCGTATATAATTAGAACTCAAATCAAAATATTTGTAATTAATAATAATAATTATATAATTATTTGTAATTATTGAGGTTGTACTGTTTATAGAGGAATAGATAATGAAAGAGACATTAAGCCAGAATTTGTTTTTGACAATATATAATTGATGATTATTGGTGATACTTGATGTTGATGCAAGAGATGTTTATGGCGATCCTAATTTATAGAGCTGATGCACAATATTTTCCAACACATGGAACTCTTCTTGAGTTCTTGTCTAAAGTCATTGAGTAACCCACATTATCATTCTCAATAATATACAAACCGAAGTTAATGAACACATCAACATGTTACTAACCACATTACATACAAACCGAAGCCAAACCTATTAACAACATTTACAAAGATAAATAACAAATCTAACATTGAAAACTACAAAAATTAAACTCAAAAGAAAATAGTCAAGATAAGATTCTGAAAAGCCATTTACCTCATTTTATCTAGAGTATTTTTCTGGATGGTAGTTGGGAGATAACCAAATCAAACAAAGTAAACAACCAAACAAAGACAACTTGTTTTGTTTTTTTCCTTCTTGCACCAAAACATTTATTTGTTTGTATGCCATTTGTATCATTTTCACTTGGCACAGTATGGCAGATATCAACGAGTATGGCCCCATACCATTCTTTCTCTCAAACTCACATTGTACAATGTCATTTAATACTCATCACTCTCACGTTTTATTACAAAAGAGCACCGAATCCGTGAATGCGTGCATCAGTGACAGCACGGAATCTGCATCCTTCCGAAAGCGATGCATGCATCAGTGACTACAGGGAATCTATATCCGGTGCACGAGGCTCCTATTTTACCGTCAATAAATTATAACTATTTAATATTCACTTTTAGTAATAATTTTTTAAAGTGTTATCATTTAAAAGTACCGTAAAATGTGACTATTTTTTTTAAGATACACATAGTTTAGAACTGATGTTAGAGTTAAGAAAAATAGCATATTTTTGATGTACTAGAAAAAATCATCTGTATTTGGTGTCATATTTGGAGAATTTGGGCCCCAAACAAAACAATAAAATTTATGAAACTGTCACAAGTTTGGAATGAAGCATCTTATTGCCATGTGAAAAGGTCAGAAAACCTCTATTATCATACCCTCATTTCAGAAGTATCACAGATCCTCTATGCTCTTCTTAATCTTCCACCGTCCACGTGTCCTCTCATTACACTCCATGCATAATATTCTTTTATCTACACTAGATCTATTATAACCGTTAAAAGTACAACATCATTTTTAACTCTCTTTGAAAACAGTAGAAATAGCATAGTACTACTAGTGTTCTTTTCTCTGACACATATATCAATAAACCAATTCAGTTTTACCATGATGATTCCTTTGTTTTCTAGATATATGCACATGGTGGCACCTGCATTATACTCAGTAATAATATTAATAGTCTTCAATTTCCAAGGTAAATTGTTATTTTATGTTTCTTCTTTTTTATCTATATATCTATAATCTATTATTGTCTTAGAAGTTAGATCTCAAATTTTATGAAGGTATCTGGAAGTTAGTTGCAGTTTAATCATGATAAAATAAATAAATTTTTTATTTAATTACAGTTTAACAGTGATAATATTGAATGAATCTTATTTAACCACATTTTAATCGTGATAACTTTTAGATCATATGCATTAGACCTGTCTTTCTCGCCTTCAAAGACTGGACAGCCTAAATGGCCCCCTTCGCTTTTCTGAACTATGCATAGGATATTTTGTTAATTAGTATAACTATATTATAATCTTCAATGGATCTCAAATTCACCCCCTTTCTCTGCAACTCTCACAATTTCATAGTTTTCAACTAATACTAAGGTACATACATCATTCTCTTAATGTCTTTAACTCTATGTTGCTTCTTACTTGATTGTTCCTTGTTCCTTTGATATATGAATCTACTTTGTTACTTCTCTTTTGCTTCTTCATAATCTAGATAAGGCTTTTTCCCCCAAATTTATTAATATAGATTTCATTAGAGCATAGTGATTCTCTCAATAGGTAGAGATTTAGACTGAAATTTTCATTGTTGTTTCTGTCCTTGTTTAAGTTTTGAGCAAAACTTTTGAGAATGAGATTTGTGGAAGACAAGGGATGCTATAGTAGTAACCATGGATCAGTAGCACAAGATACTCACAAAGGAAAAGATGTTACTACTACTAGTACTACTACATCTACTGCTGCTGCTGCTGCTAGTGCTCGTGTTTCGAATCATCATCGAATAAATATGGGAAAACCAACTCCGTCTAAATGGGACGACGCGCAAAAATGGCTAGTTGGTTTATCAAAAGGCGGAGAGAAAAGCCAATCAAAAAGCAAGCCAAGAAACTCAAATGCAGATGATTTGAGATTGATAGCTCCTGTGCCACAAAAAGAGGATGACGAGGATGGATGCCGCGAGTTCATGACAACGACTAGTACTGAATATGTAGAAGAAGAAACCAAGAAAGTGGAATGCGATGAATCAATTTGGAGAATGAATAACAAGGACACAATCCATGTTCAATCAATATGTTTTAGAGACATGGGGACTGAGATGACACCTATTGCTAGTCAAGAGCCTTCAAGAACTACAACACCTATTAGAGCAACAACTCCGAATACTAGAAGTCCAATTCATTCGGGTACTTCGACTCCAATGAGGAATCAAAATGGATTGTTGCAAATGGAAGCTGCATCAGGTAATGGTAGCACAACAACTAGACAATGTGGTGAAGGATCAAGTCCTTGTAGTATGGTTGAAAAGAATATGAAGATTGATGATCAAGCTAGAAAAATGGGTCCTCTAGAATGTAGAGCAATCGCTTGGGATGAAGCTGAACGCGCCAAATATATGGCTAGGTAATCATCAACTTATACGTAGTCTATTTATATTGACTTATTTGAACTTATCTACCGTCATAAACATTGGTTAGTCTGTTTATAAAAAAATTTATTGTAAAGGTTTAAGCGCGAAGAGATGAAGATTCAAGCATGGGAAAATCATCAGATAAGAAAAGCTGAAATGGAAATGAAGAAAATGGAGGTATCATTGTGATTCTTTTAGTAACACATATGTAGTAGTTTTTGTGTTAGCATTGTAGTGCAATTGTTTTCCTTCAATTATTGCCAATGATATTAACCTTTTTCTAAAGCATTGGATTATGGCTCATCTTTTCAAGTTCTGTGAAACACACTGACAAAGAGAGTTATTCCTGAAAAAGATAAAAGGCATAGCATGGACTTTTCCCATTGCACTGCATAGAAAACAGTAGTACTAGTACTAATGAGTCCAATGAAATATTACTAGGTGAGAGCTGAAAGAATGAAAGCTGTGGCACAAGAAAAGTTAACAAATAAAATGGCTGCAACAAGGAGAATAGCTGAAGAGAAGAGAGCTAATGCACAAGTAAAACTGAATGACAATGCTTTGAAGACTACTGAGAAAGTAGAGTATATAAGAAGGACAGGACATGTGCCTTCTTCATTCTCTTTCACTTTTAAGTTGCCTTCCATTTGCTGGTAGCAAAGTACTAGAAATTCTTATGTGTAATTTATATGTTGTATGAAATGTTAAACCATTTGAATCTAGTCCAATATATTTATGATACTACTTTATAATTTTGTATATTGGGTGATGCTTATAGTTGCTCTCTTGGTATGTACTAACAAAAGCATTAATGGTTTTTATTAATAGTTCAATATTTAATAGACATGCTTAGTATTTGTAGTTAGCAAAATTGGTCACTACATGAGCATTGGAAAAAGGCATGGGAGATGGTTAGCATTTTCTATTTCAAATTCTTCAAATTTTTGTTAGTTTTACTTGTTTGAGAAAATAGTGTTTTTAAGTGAATTATTATAATAAATTAAAAAACTTGATAATAAAATTCGAAAAAAATAATTTAAAGTTAGTCAATAGTCGGGTCCTTATAGGTGACTGTTGGTTCCACATCAACGAGATACACTTTGTCTCACACCTCTACTAGGTACTCCTTGATCGTCTCCAATTTATGGTAGTTAGGAAGTATTCTCCTAAAAAGGTCATTTTCGATCACATGTATCAGATGGAAGAAAGGTGACATTTTTTGTGAATGTTCGACACTGTTCAGAATAGCATGTACACGTCACATTCGCTAGAGGTTTTTCAATCATCATGACTACTTTCCACCAAACCGTCATATCACAGACGTTCGTGCAGTTGATCATCATTACCTCCGACTTCCTAGGATATTAATGAGCCACTATATTAAATGAAATTAAAAGGTTCATTTAATTTTATTTTTTTCCCAATGTTTAAAATGTCATTTGTCGATTTGGATGTTTAGGGAAAGTAACCTTTCTTCATCCAAATCAACCAACTCGTTCATCATCATGTTTCAATAATGATCGAATAGAATCTCCTGTTGCCTTTGAATTGCTATTGATTGTCAGTATATCTCAGCAGGTAAAACTGCATCATGGCCAAATGTCAGTTGAAAAGGTGTATAGTGAGTTGTTTAAGAGATGTTCGACAAGCCCAAAATGCTTGGTCTAAAGTCTTATGCAAATTATTTAGCTTTTGACCCACATGTTTCTTAATTAAATCAATTATGACCTATTTGCAGTTTTGACATGACCATTTGCTTGAGTGTAATAGGGGGTAGAAGTTAATAATTTGATTCTTGATTCTGAAGCAAATTCGACCATCTTTCGACCAGTGAACACTAAACCTTGGTCAGTGTTTAAGGTCTAAGGACTTCCAACCCTCCAAATAATGTGACTGAATAAAATTGATCACAACACTTAATCAACATTCGACCCATTTGATAAAATAATTAATTCCTACTAAGATGTACTTATGACCCTTATATGATGTAGGTGATAGAAGACGACAACTTATCTAGGGGGAGTGAATAGATCCCCCAAACAAAAATTTACTATTTAAAATTTTGTTTTGAAAGTAAAACAAAAATTATTGCAAGCGGAAGATTAAGCCTAGATCGAACAAGTCGTCTAAATTGAACCAACTATTGGAAACTCAGATATGCATAAACAACATAATGAAATCTAAAATGATAATAAGCCTCAATACAATAATTTCTCAATCAATCGTTTTATAATGATCACAATTGTTAACCAATTTCCAATGAAATTATCAATAAAGATAAAACACGCAAGTTATAGAACACTTAAGGTGCAATAAATTTTTCAGATTTTCCTTTTGACTTTGTTGATGTGAAATACCACTTACAATATAATTGATTATAATCTATCAACAAATCTATGTTTAACAATCAAATGATAGGTCTCTACGAATCCATTACACAATCAATGAATTGAATAATTTACTATACAAAGTAAATGATATATATATATATGGGATTTTCTAACATAGACCTACTTGTTTTTATGAAAGTCTACTTTAGCAAATCCATATGTAGGATATGTTTAGGCAGTTCACCAATCGTTCTTGCTATGACTGCGTCTGCCCCTAATTTCATTTGGAATTGAGATAAGAATTATTACTATGTAAAAAATCATTTACAAGAGAAATGTAGCAATTCAATCCTACAAACCCTATGTTTGATGTTGATCCTAGCACTTTCTCTTCTCTTGATCTGAGTTTGATCAAGTCACCCAACAATACCAATTTGATATACCGTATAGAGCTACTCCTTTACAAGAATCACTGTTCTTCAAAGTCTTCACTCGATCGAATCCAAATTGCGAAACCTTGTCAAAACCCCCAAATTAACACTATGATCTTAGAGGAAAATCCTCACAATTTTTTCGATGAAACCCCCAAAAATTTTCAACCCAATCTTAAGTTACACCAACCTAAATTAAATGTTATCAACACAAATCTAGATGGTTGTTGCAACGCAGTAAAGCGACGAGAAAAAGTTAGTTAGGAAGTATTCCAAATTTTATCGTATCCACATGGATCAGTGCGATGTATCAAATGTCATTCAATAGTCTCTACGTTTCTAAGCTTGGTTTGAATGGTTTAAAATCGTAAAATGTGGAAAGTAAAACATATGAACAAGTAAATAATGCATTATTTAGAGAGGAGAGAACTCGTCGAGATTAGATTTCATCTACCCATCAAATACTTAAATCTACCGATCAGTTATATGTAACCTAAAATACTCATTAATATCATGTATCCCTCACATCAGTGTTCATGTTTGAAGCATCGGCGAGAGTTCTACCGCATTGTCTCATCGGTGATGTCTCATGCAACTAAACAACACAGAGCACTAAGAGCTAAGACCCACTGTGAATATTAGATCTAAATCAATTTCTAGTGTTTAGAAGCTAATAGATGTTCATCCTAAATTCATATTTAAAGAGTATATGTCTATAGCAACTAAAATCCAAACATAAAGCCAATCAACAAGGATAACATCAATATAGATTTGTAAAATAGCTCTTATACAATTCCAGGATTAATACATATACATAAAATCAAAGTAAACTTACAAATAAACCCCAACAATAAAGAATACAAAGATAAGAAGGCAGATGAACCAGTAACTCTCGCGGTGTCAAGACGATTAATGCAAATCTAACTCCGGATCATCAAGATGCAGCCTCTAATGTTGTTTTCTAAGTCTCTCTACTCAAAGAATGGTTCTGATGGAAATGGGAGTAAAAATCCCCAAAATCATAACCCTAAAAGTTATGAAAGAATGAATAAATAGTGGGTCAAAAAGTGGAATCGCGCTAAGCCCGTGTAGAGGGTGCTTAAAGCAACCACGAAAAATGGTGATTGTACACTCTGGAGCCTGCTCAACAGAGTATTTTGGGCTCACCATGCTCAACATATCAAAAATGTTGCTTATGCCTTGTTGTGTTGCAGCGTGCTTCAACTTGGGCTCAGCTCGCTTGTCATCACTTTATTTCAAAATTTGCACAATTGAAGCCATGCTTTTGCCTTATATTCCAATGCTTCAACCATGCATGAAAACCTACAAAACAATGAGTTAAAAATAATCAATTTGATACAATATTTACACGAAAATGCGACTATACACAATATGTACATATTTACATACAAGTTGAGGTTTATTCAAGGAATTCCAACAAAATAAGTCAATAAATGCCACAAAACTATACACAATTTTAACTATAATTTGGAACTTACTAAACACCTCAACTTAAAACTTGTTTGTCCTCAAACAAAAGTCTCTTCAATCTAAAGAAATAAAAGCAACATCCAAAAAATTATGAATCAACAAACAAAGTAATGCTTACTGTCACTACGCGAAAAAAACAGAGACAAACAGAGTCACCACTAAACTTTATTTATCCCAAAGGAGGGAAAGGAAAATAATAAGAAAACCACAGAGAAAGGAAAGAACATGGTCGCACAACTAGTATTTGGGTTCGAAAGTTGATTACGCAAGGGGAAGGTGATAGCGCCCCTCACGTCCATTGTATTCAACGGGATCCACTCTTGTTGTTCTAATTAAAGGGTGTGTATATCTAAATACTTACTTGCTAAGGGAATGCATGTAAGTGAATGTCAAGACTGCAAAGAGAATCCTCTGAAGTAATAAGTCCAGATGGAGAGAGTTTACTCAAGCATTGGTAATCTTTAGATCATATTGTATTCTCATTTGTAACCTTTCTTGTTTTGTTCAATACTTATTGTATGCAAAACTTGTTTGTTTTTTAATAACAATAACAATTAATTGAATATGTTTGTCTTGAAATAATCCATTTGTATTCACTCTTAAATGTTTTTCTTTACTTTTTCATGCATGACTCTTGTTAAACAAAGCAAAATAACTCTGGAGGGAGGATGATGAACATGTGATACCTAGAATCTCATATGATATGGTTTTGAATAAAACCCTGCTGACGATGTACAAGCATTGTTTCAAATCCCCAGACACATGATATATAAGGGAGATAGACCCTTGTTAACCCGTTTGAGCCTTAAAGTAGGAGTTTCTTTTTTATGCAGAAAAAACCCCTCATTTTAACCTGAAGTCGGGTAGTCTTCAGTTAATTTGATCGAGCGTATAAATTTCAAAAGGGAGTGAACATCTGAGGATCAAACACACCTTATCTCCTACATATCAAGAGGTCGAGAAAAATCAAATCCATAATGGTTGTCCCTCGCAGACCTAGGAACTAGGCAGTCACAACACTTTCAATAAGTCAAGAGACTCAGGGTCACACGATATGTTCAAAAAAAAAGAAAATGAATGAAAAAAATCAAAAGAAAGAAGAAATTATGCTAAGTCAAAAACTTGAAAACAAGTGACTTAGGCAAAAGTTAGGGTATTCGCTGGACTTTAAAATATATAAAAAATCAGTCCTGGCAAAAATTAGGGAAACAAAAAAAGAACGAAAAGAATTACAAAATAAAAAATCCTCAACAAAGAACAAAGTCGAGTAATCAAACACCAAGAACAAAAGGCGATGGAATGTCATGTCCAAAACCTCATTGGTTCCTCAACCATCATAAACTCCTCTTGAGAGATGAGTGTCCGTATCGAGTTAGATTAATGTAAGACTGGAGAACATCAAAGA